ATGACCCTTCTTGCCTCCCCCTCTTCTCTCATCGTATTGATCAAGCGCCTTGTAAGCCAAGGCCTACCCCATCGCCATTGCCTATTGAACCACCATCGTCCCTGCTTCTATCTCTTCCTCTCCCCATTTCCCTGATTCTGCGACCCTCCATCAGGCCCCGCAGACCTCGCTTTTGGAGCCCAACCACTGCGCTCATTTCACCATTCCAGGTTTCTCTGTCTTCAATGCCACTTCCATCCCCGAAACCGCTATCGGAGGCCGAGGCTGACGTAGATTCAGACGCCGCTGAACTGACCTCATCGTCGTGATTTCGATCTACGTCTGTGTTGACGCGGAGTGCGCGCAGACCGGCGTCCAGGCTTCGTTCGACGTCCGCGACTGTGCTGTTGTTGCTCGAAACTGAGTTGGAGAAGCCATTTGTTGTCCCGTTCGTGCCTGATACACCATTGACACCCTTGAAAGCAATACCGGAGCCACCGCCAGCCGCCATGGCTGCAGCATTGAAGATGGCCGCGGTATTCCTGTTATCCAATAGGACGTGAAGTCGTTCGATAATCGCTTCCAAGAGGCCATCGATATGGTACGGTCGCGCTAATTGAAGGAGAGAGCAGAGAATCTGCGGTGAGCATAAGGCGGAGTTATGTGGTGGTAGTGATGAAGTGTATAAGAAATGTATAAGCGCTTGAAGTGTGAGATGAGTGTGAGGTAGGAATAATGTTCGAGGCCGCTGTGATGGTGAGTGTGATGAAGGTTCTGGTGGGCTTAATGAGGAGTAGGAGTTCGCTGATACAGCTGTAGCCTCTGATGGTGTTATAGTGTTGGCGGTAAGCGTTGTGGCTGTTGAGTAGTTCGTTCGGATAGAAGGTGTAATAGTAATGCTTGAGTTCCTCGAGGGATGCATTGTGGCAGTGGGCCGTAAAGTCGCCGCCTCAGCGTTTTCTTTCTCCGCGCTTTGAGCACTCTCGCGGAGTAATTGGTTGAAATAAGGACCCCAGCGTCGAGCAATGATGTGGGAATTAACGGGTATGCGCTCGCCATGTAAAGCGAGGAAATCCATATCGGCAAGTTCCTTCATACCCAACGCTATTTGACCTAGCTCGGTCGCTGCGGGTAGCAGTGTGCGGCCACCAGCAAGCATATCAAGTCGATCATGCTGTGGCGGTGCGCTGACTGAGTTGAACCCTGACGCAGGCGTCACCTTGCGTGGGTTGTCATAGAGCCCGAATGCTTCTAGCTCAACAACGCACATGTTCGAGAAATTGATGCGCCGATGATTATAGTCTTCGACCAAGCTCCTCTTGCGGTTGCCAAGAATGACGAAACAATTCCGACGGTTCCAGAGCACACCCCTGTTCCAGCTTCCCTGGCTGAAAATGTTGCCGCCGGCTTCGATTCGTCCCCAACTCAGCGTTCGCAAATCAAGAGCCCAAAGCGCATATTCTTGTTTCGACGATGTCAGAAATGTGCCGCTCACTACAAAGTGGTTGTTGATAACACCACCGTTCGGGAAGCGGAGACCTGGCGGCGAGAAATTGCCGTGCATTGGCTTCTCGGAAAGCGTACCATCGGGGTGCCGCACTTGTAGTTCGAGCTTGACGTCCAGGAAATTGTAGTTTGAATAAATGAGCATCGATGACTCGCCAGTCTTGTTCGGACTCCGTTCCTCCGGTGTTCTTGCTTCACTGCCCTGGCGTGTTCCTCCTCCAATATCGTTCGGGTCAATGCTAGTGAGGGGCGCGACTACGCTTCGGTATGCGCCACAACTTCTGCCTAATGTGCTCGTTTCCGTCCACTTCAGACTCCTGAGGTTGAATACGCTGATTTGTTCAATGTAGTGATTGGCGCTGTCCTGACCACCCACAACAAGCATTTCCGCACCGCCCTCGCCATCCAACTGCACTCCCAGGGAACCTTGGTTTGGATTTGATGAAGGTGGATTGTGTCGTATGGCTGTCACCGCAGCTCCGGTCGAACTGAAAACGGCCGAGCTAGGAAGTATGGTCGCGCAGTGAGCATAGCGACCCTGTGGAGATTCGCTTGTAGAAACGTGCATCCAAGTTTTTGTCGGCGCATCATAGATGTGAACATCTGACATGACCACCACCTCGGGTTGTGCGTCGGCGGGAGCACCTTGTATCACGGAAGTTGCTTGATTAGAAGACGAGCTTACAGGTGACATGCCTCCATAACAAACCAGCTTCGTGTCGCCAAGCGGACAAACACTGTGGAAATACCGAGGAGGCGGGATGTCACCTTTGGCGTCGACTTTTGTCCAGTGGCGCTTGACAAGGTCAAGCTCGTACAGGTCCGATGTAAGCTGCGGTCTTGTTCTGGAAAGTCGACGGCCACCGAAAACATACAGCTTGTCGCCTAATATTGTGGTGGTGGCGCCTACGAGCGGGTGCGGTTCCCTGCCTGTTGTGCGATGTACATTGCAGACTAAGCCCGACAACCCCGCGGTTGAACTCGTTGGTGTCGCAAGGCCTGCAAGCATGGCTGGTGACTGAGAGATACCAGGCGTCCGGGTCGACGATGTTCCATCTTGGCCGTCTTCATGATGCAAGCTGGTCTGGCTGTTGTTTCGACTCGATAAATAGGGTGCCGATGTCTGAGAGTTCAGGGTGTTGGTCCGGCTAGCCATCCTGGTCGGGATATGTAGAGAAGTAGGTGCGCGCTGAAATCCACCAAGATCGAAAATGGGATCGATAGAAGACGGTGAGACTCTTTGTAGAAGTATAGCCCAATCTGGTATCACAATCTCCACATGACGAGGCGAAACGCTGAATTCGCTGGAGGGTTTGTCGCTTGGCAATGGAGAGCCAGCGAGGCTAGGACTGCCACTCGATCGCGAAGGGCTATAATCAATATTCGTACAAGGACTCTCGGGTGTTACAATCTGATCATAGACAATGGGCACGTGCGACAAGGCCGGAGGACCACCGGATTCGGGTGTGTTTTCCGATTGGATCCTGCGATATGCGCTGGAAGCAAAGCCCGTGGAGTCGACAGGTCTTCTCTTCTTCGATAAGATTTGCTTGATGTGTAATTTTCTAGATTTTTTCCAAAACGAAGAGGTGTCACCCAATGGTTCGGTACTAGAACCGATGGATGGGTAAGAAAGGCCTAAAGGTAATGCCATGTTAGCGTTCGGTCTGCAAGGTCCGAGAAAGCAATACTGAAAGAGAAGGAATCGCCAGATTTTTGAAATATTCCCATGTTACCAGCAGGGCCGAGCTACCAGCAAATCTCACTGACCCAGATGGGAAAGCCATGTTTACACATGAGGGATGAGGATGTTGCTGCAGGTAGTGCGACTTGCTACGGTGGTACGAATGCGCCTCATAGTAGGACAAGGAAAAAAATCCAGCTTTTGCAGGCAGAGGATTTGGATACATGTTGATATTGGCTGCACGCAGCAGTGGCTGGAAGTTGTCGAGACGAAAGAGAGTGAGGGGTGGAAGCTTATAAAAGGAAGACAGGTCTTACTTGAGGGTGAGCGCCACACTTAGGAGGCCACACTTAGGAGCGGGGAAGATGAGACCCAGGGGAAGGGTAGACGTATGCAGAGAAGGAAGACAACGCGTCGTCTTGCTGAACTTCAGGGCCCGCGCGATACAGAGATGACAGCAAGCCTGAGCGAGGTTCTGTGGAGCGCTCTATCCCGGATGCAGCCTAGAGGCTTGGCGTAAATCGTCAGTCTCAGGTGCCTGCAGGTCGCTAGCAAGGGAACAATGTTGGGCGTCTCTAACGTCGAGCGCCGTCGGTGCAGCTGCAGCACTCGAGAGCTGGAGGCGTTCCTGTGGGTGAAACGGGTAGCAGCCCTGGAGGAGAAACCTGGGACGGCCGGGTGCGGGGCGGGATCCGAGATGAGAAGATGGGCTGAAACTCGAGACGAGAAGCCGTTGGGCACCTCTGGAGACCACAGGCAGCAACGGCAAATAGCAAAGGTCAATGTGCGACACGCAATTCTCGGAGTGCAAGGGCGCCGTAACCTTTTCCTTGACGAGGCTTGCAGAGGTATCTCATCAACGTTCAAGCACGGTCGCCAAAACAAATTAGCGCAGGGAATGCCGGTCGACAAATCAAGAGTCGTATGCTCAATATTAGAGGCGCTGTTAGCTTAGCAGGCCCGTCTAGGTGTCTTCATATCGGATGATCGGTGAGGCTGAACCCAAGGAATTATTTGGAAAGCGTGAATGTAGTAGTCGAAGACGTTCCGGTAGTGCATCGGACTGTGCCGAAAAGAACGGGCTGGAATAGACGCAGTAGTAGTAGACGGTGCCGAAACGTTGCTTCTCGGCCTCTAGCACCGTCGTCATTGTTTTCCAATCGGAGGCTAGACACCCTCAGCGCGCTCTTGAGTCGACACAATTATAATGCTAGTTCGATACACGTCGTATTTACGACGCCATGTATTCAGCAGAAGTCTTGCAGACTGAGGGATTCGTAGATGTTCAAGAAGACGGCCAATCCGCTACGTTGGTACACTAGACCCTGGGATTTTACGCTCGATTCTACGATAGAGAACTCGAAATTTGCCAGGTCTTTAAACTTCTCAATGCGATGTTATTACGATACAACTCCATAAAAAAACGATCCTTCGTAGACGACAGCGACTCACGGCTGGAAGGAACGACATGTGCGTAGCCGCACAATGACTCAAGTACATTGAGCAAGGAGTCTAGATGGAAAAGTAAACCTTGTTACTAGTCAAAACCACGTCATCGCAGGGTAACACAACACTAGAGCATATTAGAGTTGGTGCTGCCTACACAGCATCGAAACCGTGTAGATGAAGATTATACAAGAATGTGTATACTTCAACTGAGAGTATATGGTAGGAGTTCGTAACATGGCTCGTTCGTAGGCTCATAATGCGACACAAATTCTGGCATGCCTAAGTTTCATCAATATGACAGTCAGAGTATTGGAAGTGATGAAAGTATAAAATGTTTAGCAGTGATGTCCATCGCTTCCCGCTATGCCATCGCCATGCCAAGTTACTGGAAGGTATCCGAATCATCATTCTCCTCCGAGCGATGAGATACCCCATGCGCCTTGTCGTAGATGTCGCGAGCCTCAACAACCAGCTGCTCCCTCTTGACCCAAGACGCCAAGTGACGCTGCCCTACCCATTTGACAAGGTATTCAACATGTCCATCATTGCCAGTCTTGTGTGCCTGTATCCGCTTGTATGGCCACTCCCAACTTGCCTCATCATCTGCTTTCATCGACCAGACACCCCAGCCCTCCTTCATCTCTCCGTTCTCTTTCTCGTAGTCCAGCGCCCATTGCCTGAAGAACGCTGCAACCCAGGGTTCTTCGTCGGGTGGGTAATCGTCAGGATCGTGTTCGCGGGGTGGGAATTGGGTATGCTCGAGTTTGGGTGCGCTGAGCTCTGAGCCATAGTGCTTGCGCGCATCTGCGATGTTGATGGCGAGCAAGAAAGGATCCAGCAGCTCAGCAAGGTCGATACCCGTATGAAACTGCCATTCGTATCGCTTCAGGGTGGTGCGAACGTGAGCGAGGAGTCGTTTTTCTGCTTGCTTTGGTAGTGTATAGGCGTCGTCGTCTTGAGCGAGCTGTCGAAGGGCATCCTTGATACTACCGAGCATCTCTCTAGCGCGTACTGTCACTACAAGTGATCCAGCAGCCGCATTCTCTCTCGCCCATGCTGCGCATAAATCGCACGTATCTGGTCGTAAGGGAAGGTGCGAATCGCACCAAGGTAGTGGGCAATTCGTACTCGAGGAGAGGTGCGTCTCAATACATTCTCGGCAGAAGATATGAGAACACCCAATCTTGACTGGTATCACCTTTTCGCGGCCGTCGGGGGTGCTGAGGTAGTCTTCGAGACAGATTGAACACTGCGCCTTCTCTGCGGACAGTTGCCTGGTAGCTCGGACAAGGATCATGGAGTGAAGACATGATGCCGCGCTCGACTTGCGCTTCGATGGAGGCAATTCCAAGACCTCTTGCTCGGACGATGGGGCCTTTCGCTTTCGTGGGCTTGTCCATACACCGGTGAAGTCCGTGCTGATGTTGTCAAAGTAAGGAAAGGGCATCCTGAGAAGCTGCAGTTGCAGTGCCAAAACCCAAGGGAATCAATGAGGTCAATTCAGACGATGGGGAACAAAGTGACGGCGTTGGGGAAATGGTGGAAGAAGTGGCTCAAGACGTGGGAGTTGGAGCACGCGAGGCTACCGCTATCTTTAAAGATGGGAAGGCGCGCCTCACCGCGACTCCCCCGTTTGCACGGAAATGGCATGAGGGCAGCACTGGTGGTAAGAGACCGGAATGTGAGGTAAGAGGCAGTGGGGACCGGTTGACAATCCGTTCGAACTATCTGCCAGGTGACTCATTGCGGCGCGGTATCTTGTGTTACAGGCACTTTCTTCTCTCTCACAACGGGTATCTCCTCCTCATACACTTCTTCTACACGCGCACCAGGAAACGCTTTCCTCAGCTCTTGGCCCAGAAAGCGAATGCCCCAATCTTCCCCTTGCCGATGTCCTACACAGACTACTGACATGCCCAGTGCTTTGGCTGCTTCCATGCCACTGACTCTGGGTTGACCGGTCAGGTAAAGCAAGTGTCCACCGTCTTCACCCTCCGTTATCCACCCGCGCTCCTGAGCCATTGCCAACACGCGATGCACCTCGTCCTCGTTGAACGCGTTCATGATCGCAATGATGCGTATCTCGTCCGAGGATCCTTCGTGCGCGAGCTCCGATGCTCCAAACTCATCCTGTACTAGGCTCAGAACTGCATCCAGAGATTTAGAGACCTGACCGATGATTCCAATCTTTCTCTCTGGATCTCCTTTGTAGCCTTGCACGCAGAGGCAGTCCGTCGTCGCCATGCCCAGGCGCTCCGCCAGCACCGTGTTCCATCCAACAGTGAGAACTTCGTCGAAAGATGTGTGGCTCGAAAGTACAAGTGTTCCTTTGCGCACGCTGCGCCTGTCGAGTTGGAAAGGCCGGTGCAGAAAGCATAGTGTTCGTGGCGGCCGGGGGTATATTCTTGGGAGGAGCGTCGTTGCGCCAATGGTGCTCTCGTCTAGTGGGTAGCCGATCAACGAGTATACCCCTGGTGTGGGGGTAACACTCAATACGATCTGCTCGACTACGGCGGTCTCAGGGTCGTATCGAGGGTTTCGCGGCGTGTGGTAGAGTCGCTGGACATCGTTTTCGTTCGGTGGTAGGAACGTCTCGACGAATCGCGTTACGGCTGCATGCGTGGGCTTCTTCGGTCGCGACATTTTAAATAGGGAGGTTAGCAGTCTGTTCATTAGTAGTGATCAAGAAAGCCTTTCGAAAGCTTCGCGACTTTTGGCTTCAAGTACGTCATCATCGCTTCTAAACCGTGAAGTGGTGGGTGTGCAGGCCCCGCCATCGTTCCCATCGCGTTCACTGTCGCCATGAATGCGCTAAGAAGTAGGGACGATGTTTCGAAAGCCATGTTCGTCGCGCGACGCGATGATGTGCAGTGCAGTGCAGAGCGGTATCGTGGCGGGCACCTGGGAAGCCCTGGAGCGCGTTAATCGGACAGGCAGACACTAGTCCCATTGCAGTCTAGTCTCAATACAGCCACTCTATCTCCATCCGCATTTTCTTAATGTTGATTGACGACGATGCAGGCAGAATAGAAAGTCAGACATTTAACTCGTATCTTGACGGAACCATACATAGTGGAAGCCCTTCAAGTAGTGACGTTCCATGTCTGTAGTCAATGCTCTGACTAAACGCACTATTTCCCTCGGCTTCTCTATCTTTCGCTCCAGAGTGCTCTTGACATCGAGTCATACTCCATCGTCCATCCAACGTCCTCAGCCCACATATCGATCTTACAGCTTTGTCACTATGGGTGTGACTGCAGCCCCTACTCCCGCCATTGTTGGTGCTTTGCAATGCCAAAAGGATTCTTATCTCCAAACACTCGAGACGGAGGTAGTATCCTGCGAAGAATACGTACCACCAAAGTCCTCACAACAGAATGGCAAGTCAAAAACGAAGAAGTCCACAGACCCCACCAAGGGTCTTGACAACGGAGATGCAGCATTCGGCAAGACATGGCTTATCGAGCTTGCGGACTCAGTGTTATTCCCGGAAGGTGGTGGCCAACATACAGACTATGGTATCCTCACAACACTGAAAGACGAAAAGAAGGAGGAAGTACCGATAAGAAGTATACAACGTCACGGTCTACGCTGTATTCACTTTTCTCCAACGCCTCTTGAGCCTGGCACACCGGTCCGTCAAACCGTCGATTTCGCTCGTCGCTGGGACCTCATGCAACAGCACACCGGTCAACATCTCCTCTCAGCCGTCATGGACTCCATGGACCTACCTACGCTGGGCTGGAGCATGGGCCAGCCCGGAGAAATGAACTACGTAGAACTACCACGGAAGCCATCGGAAGAAGAACTCCAAACTATCCAGAAGAACTGCAATGCCAAGATAAGGGAGAGCATGCCAATCACCGTGGAAACACCAGAAGGCAAGGGAAGCGATAGCCTACCTGAAGACTACGATAAAGAGAAGGGTGTTGTCCGGTTCATCAAGATTGGGGACATGGACTATAACGCTTGCTGTGGGACACACTTGCAGAACTCGTCGCACATCAATGTCATAATGCTGCACCATATGCAGTCGGTACGAGGCACGAACTGCAGACTCTTCTTCACTGCTGGAGATCGCGCGATCAAGATGGCTACGGAGTCTATCAACGGTCTTCGCTCCATCGCTGTGTCTTTGTCATCCGGGTCGGCGCCTACGGATGTTGCGGCAAAAGTACAGAGAATGAGCGACCAAATCTCTGAAGGGCAGAAGAAGGAGAAGAAATTACTAGCTGAGATAGCAGCGTTCGAGGGTGATCGCATAAAGAACTATCTACAAAGCCACGATACGGTCTTTATGCATCGCGCTACAGATGGTCTTGACTTCATCAACCTTGTGCTCTTCGAAGTCAAGGAAATTGTCAAAGAGCGAGAGGCTGTCATAGTCTTGTCTTCGGGCGAGGTCAAAAGCTCTGGATCCATCGTCGTGTTTGGCAAACCTGACTTGGTAGAGAAGATGGCGGCGAAGGTGAAGGAGGTTGTCAGCACGGCAAAAGGAGGTGGCAAGGGCGAAAAGTGGCAGGGCAAGGTCACTGAGTGGCAGAAAGGCGAAGTTGAAGCGTTGAAGCAAGCTATTGATGTGCAGTAGAAACTATGAGATATCTGATAGAAGGTAGGTATATACAAGTCGAAGAGTTGGCTAAAGACGAAAGTGGTATAGAGCGATTGTCCAAGATACGTGATCCTTCAAAGCAAGAAGAGTGAAAAGAAAGGGTATCTACATTGAACGAATGGGGTTGCCATCTAGGCGAAGCTGGAGTATGAGAAAAGAAGGCGGATTCGTGAGTGTCTAGACGCTGTAGACCTTCACGGAGTTGATAAGCCAGTACGTCTAGTCACTGTTAGCATATTCTTTCCCAATAACGCCAGAGGAGGAAGACTTACATCACCAAAAGCCTGGGGCTGGTTCGCCACATAAGCATTACAACTGGGGTTAAGCTGGGAGCATGAGTTCGAGCCCCAGACACCACCCGCCCAGTCTCCACAGAAGGTAATGTCGAACACGATGTTCAAGTCCCTGAACTTGGCATTGTAATCACATCCTCCACCGAAGTTCGCGATCGGGGTACCCCAAGTTCCGGGATCGGGGTTTCCGCTCCGGATGTTTGCGGGGATGTCGCGGGTGGCAAAGTACCACACCTTGATACCACCGTCTGTCCATAGTGTGGCGTATACACCACCGCCGTTGGCATTGAACTGTGAGCCGTATGTGACGGGGTTGTTGGCAGAGATGCCGCAGCCGTTGAAGCCGCCGCCGGCACCGCAGTCCCCGCCTCCGCGGCTTCCTGTTTCACCCCCTGAGCCGATCCCTGGGTTGCAGCCAGGAGATGTATGAAGGGTGACTTGGTTGGTGGGGGCCTTGTGAACACCTTCGTAGATGTCAATCTCGCCTTGATTAGGCCAGTTGGGACCGACCATCCAACTGCAAGTACACCGTTAGTCTTGCACAGCATGAAGGCGATGTTACAGGCAGGTGAGGAACTTACAAGGCGGGCCACGAGCCACATGCACTACCGGGCACGTGTGCAAAGTCTGCAATCACAAGCGCGCGGTTGTAGGCTGTCTTGCTCTGCACGCGTACACTCTTTCGACCAGGACCGTTGGGGTCAAGGTGCGTTGTAGAGTCTACACCCATGTAAACCTGGCCGTTTTGCGTTTTGAGCAAACCAAGCTGTTGAGCTTGTTGCCCGTTAACGTAGTCTACGAAGCCATCTAGATGTTTGTTAGACACAAGTGACATAACGTTTTGCCAGTGCACTTACGTGTAGGATCACCGATATCCTGGACGTCGAACTTGTTCACCCAGTTACTGGCATCGTACGTGTCGATCAGGTTGTAGGCAGCCGAGGCATGAATATCGTCTGAGGAATAGACATAGGATGAACCATTAGCCCAAAAGCCAGGCCCGGCTGGTAGTGCAGTGGCACCACGCCACAGGATGGGGAGAGATAGGATGAGAGATTTGAGAGACATGGTATCGTATGTGTGATCAAGATGTATTGTCGTACGAATAGATATCGAAACCGGGATTCCGTGATATACTTATAGCCATGCGCATCTTCGTCGCGACCAAGATGCGCATGCTTCCATACCCCTTGCTCACCGTCGAAGATGCATCTAGGTCGGCTGCACTTAGCAGAGGGGGATCCTCGTTGGAGATTGCATGACCTACTGGCTCGCTGTATACACATGCCATTGGGCGCGATGATCAGATTAGGGACAAAAGCCTCGCGATGTTGCAGCACTTGTAGGGACGAAGGTGCAAGGTTCGAGCGGTTCGCGGGTAATTCGCCTAGTTGAGCAGTTCGAAATTGACCCCAGAAAACGTGGACGTGCCGCATGATGGGAGTCTAGACACTTGTAGCCTCGTGGTAGAGGTAGTGGCGGTTAGACTCGCTGGTCGTTGGGCGGTTTCAGTAGTTTTGCTGGTGAACGGCTTCTGGGGCTCGTGAGTGGTGGAGAGCCATCGCCAGTTCATCAAACTGGTCTTGTCTCCGCGGACCGCATCGCGAAGCGACAGCAAAACGGGGGAAAAGTAACATAGAGATGTGAAATGTGACAAACAGAAATGCGTGTGAAAAGGAGTCGGGTGCGGCCAAGGTCACTGTTTCTCTTCTCCAGACGTTCACGTGGCGCGTCGACATACCTTCCCGAGGTTCTTTCGGGAATAGCGTTTTCACCCCGCGACTGCCTGTTTTGCCCGACCACATCTGCATTCCAGAACTAGAAACATTCCAGAGAGTCTCGGGACAAGAAAAGGTCGACCTGTGGACGGTAAGGACGAGATTTAGATGAGTTTTTGGTGTGTCGTGGTACAGACCCCGCAAGGTTTATCCCCATGGACGAGGCATCTGATGTTGTAGGTCACACTGGCTTGCTCCCACGCCACACAAGTGCTTTCTATGGCGGGTTCATCGGTGTCTGAGTCTCGACCCCGGATTATCATCAGCATGCGGGGAGCTCGCGTGGTTCGAGGTAGCACTGCTTGGGTCGACTAAGAGTGCGAAGCGCCTGGTCCTCTGATGTCCTGCGACAGTCCTTCACCGCTCAACGGATTTGTTGACTACCTACTCGTGAGTCAAGAACGATCAAATAGTTTTGAAGAGAAAGCTAAGTGCGCTGTGTGAGTAGGAGAAGCTGCTGAGTCCAGAGGTTGGTTGCAGCCGCGAGTGCGGGAGCGGCTTTCCCGTAAGCATAGATGCCGTCGTCAGGATCTGCACGGAGAGTAGATTTCATCGTCAAAGCTGGAACCATGTTGCTATCTGAACGCTCCTATCATCATTCAGGAGTCAGGTGTACTGAGCTCACTGCTATTGGCGTGTGTACACGGCACTGTGTTGGGACACGGCATGTCTTCACGCACGGCTTGATGGGACAAAGAAATGATATTACCCTCCCGCTGTTAGACACATATCCGTGCTTCCTGTTGCATCCAATAGGATGTCTACCGATGAAGGTATGGACTCCAGTCATATCTATTGAAGTAGCTGGCAGTTGGCATCACTGATGGCTGAGATAAGTATCCGTCCGTCCTTGCGCAAGTGACCAGTCACCATAACTAATGCGCTATGTGTATGAGGAATCTAGGGAGTGAGTTTTGCATCATGGTTACCGAGTACGGCGAGGACTACATGATACATGGATTCTACAAGTATATACATGTCAATGTGCGCATGAGGTATGGAAGACACAGAAGATGAGTCAACCTTCGTGAAGCATATACACGTCAAAAGCCCTTAGCAGGACTTGCGATTGGAATTGGAATGCTTTAATCTCTGTGTTAGTATACTACAGCAGCCATGCGCGGTGAAGATACTCTCAAAGATGCGCTAAATCTTGACTATATTCGTAACATATATGCTATAGTGTTCTTACTCATACTTGGGGAACGTGCTGATGTCGTAGTTTGAGCGCTCGATGCCTAGGTGTTGGATGACTCGTGAGCATGGTCCGATTTATGCATACCTACAAAGTCCTGCGGGGAACATGACAACCGCATCTTCATGAATACTTCATCAGCGTCCACTTACAGCCCCTCAAAGCTTCGTATAGATATCTTGTCCGCCCAATATTCGCGTGGTGTATAACGAAAATGTAAACCGATGAACACTTTCGCTGATATACACATTAGGTCAAATGTCTCAAGAGTTATCGAGCCAACTTGACTACGGCTCAAGGTACTCACTACTATCTAAACGGAAGACATCCATCAACAACGATGTACCAAAACGAACATATCGACACAATAGATCAGTCAAGATTGCGATCCTACTCGAAGTCCCGACTGTTTCACTGCCAAGTACTTGTGCGGTGTACACTCACATAGGCGTTTACCGATGCCAGTCACATCGTTATCAGCGTGGTGGCAGTTCACCCTCTTGCACTTGCGGAGAGAATTCAAAATGACAGTCATTGAGGGCGCTGTGATGGACTCATCAAACACCATGGCCCGCGACTTTCACTCATTACTCCTGGTGGTACAATGACTCTGTTAAACTATATGAACGAACTTCTGCAGGTGTTTACTTCTCACACAACAGCAGAACGTAACAAAAGAGAAACTGCAACCAGAACTAAAGTCACAATACAAGCAATATGGCTTCATCCGGCCCGCCCACGTCTACGGATGCGAATCCTACGAGCGACTCGCCTTCTCCCAGTCCACCCACGTCTCCCGATCCGAGTGTTACGGAGAATATGCACAAACTTGCCAAAATCTTTGGGGCCATATCTGCAGGTTGGGTTGCATGGCTTTGGATGTTGGAAAATGAACCGAATGTTGGCGTACAAGCATCGTGGTGGCCCCCTTACAGCTTGTTTAACCTCCTATTACTAGGTGCCTGGTCATTCTTCATAGTCTATTACACAATGAGAGATGAAGAGTCGAATCGAAAGAACACGCCTGGAAAAAAGCCCAATGTGTTATGGAACCTCCTCCACATCGTACCGATGTTACTCCTTCATGTTACGATCAACAAGAGCATGTCGGTCAAGGACAAGGGTCTCCTCTGGTTCTCGGCCTTGGTAGTCTTTCGATACTGGCGCGCTATCGTTACCCGGCTCTTCTATACTCAATACAGGGCAGCCACCGTACCTGAAGATAAATTGAAGTTTACGCCATCAGATTGTACGGTGATTGTACCCACAGTCGGCCCAGCGAACAACCCCATGTTCGCATTGATGGTTGAAGGGATACTTCGGAACAAGCCAGATCGACTCATTTTCGCTGCAAACAATGAAAAAGCGAAAGAACTTATCGAAAGAAAGGTTGAAGAGGTTAAAAGTGCTATGAGAGGTGGAAAACGAGGCGACGAAGATTGCTCTGAAGATCGCTACGAAGATATATGGGATGCGGTGATACCAATAACCAATTGGACCGGCAAAACTGTTATTGAAGCCAAGTACATTGAGGAGTCCAACAAGCGCAAGCAGACTGAGCACGCTATTAAGATGGTAGAGACGGATATCACTTTCATGGTCGACGATACTGCTATCTGGCATCCGAGGTTCTTGCAAGCGACTCTACCAGCTTTTAACGATCCAAAAGTTGGTCTCGTGGGAACACGCAAGCGGGTGCAATACAAACGACCTTCTCACACCGAGGAAGAACACAAGGAGAAGAGCCGCCTGCGGTTTTGGTTGAGCTGGTATCGCTCTGGCTTTTGGAACACCGTCGGTGCGCAGTATCTTGATCGCCATAGCTATGAGATTCGGGCGTCGAATGCCGGCGACGGCGCCGTATTCGCCATTTCCGGTCGTACTCTCGCCATCTTGACGGATATAGTAAAGGATTCCAAATTCAGGGAAAAGTTCGTGGACGAATATGTGCTTACGTGGGTCTTCAAATGGTTAAGCTACTTCAAAAGCTGGCACATTTCACCCGCTGGCTGGCTACTTAAATTTTTCGAGGGAAAAGGTCTAACGGAAAAGGGCATTGGGCCCCTTCTTGCGGATGATGACAACTTCATTACGCGGTGGGTCATTGACCGTGGATGGAACATCAAGGTCCAATCTTCGCTAGAGGCCACTATGATGACGAGATTGGGAAGCGTGAAGATCTTCAAGTATGTGGATCAATGCGAACGCTGGAGCCGCACAACCTTTCGTCAAAATCCCATCGCGCTCTTTTCGGATCGAACCATCTGGTGGAAATGGCCTATCGGAGTGTGGACAGTGTACTTCCCGTGGATGTACAACTTCGCGGTCTTCTGGGATGGTCTGGCCATTTTCAACTTTTGGCGATCCGGACTGTATCAGAACTCCTCGAATGGCAACGCGCGACTTGTCTGCCTGATCCTGGCTATATGGGCGACGAAGCTCATCAAGACTTGGCGATGGTTTCGAGAGCATCCTCTGGACTTCCTCCTGTTCTTTGTCATCCCGGCTTACCCTTTGTTCGGATACTACCATTCCTGGCTCAAGCTGTACACAGCGATTAGCTGCTGGAAGAATGATTGGTCCGGGAGGGACGTGAAGAAGGCAGAAAAAGATGCAGGCGCCATCCTACGCGAGAAATATAAAGACATCATCATAAGCGGAAGTAAGAAACAGACCGATGGGTCTGGATGACCTCTTGCAGAACACTCGACAGCATGAACCAATTCACCTCATTGACGGCTACCGGTGCAAGCCAACCCTTGCGCTTCGTTATTCGTCAATCAACGCCAGTACGGAGGTCAGTGCGATGGAATAGTCGAGCCAGGGTATCTTCGACGGTCAGACAATATCTCTTTCGTTTCCAATGGGCGCTTGTTGTTTTCGATACCCGGGCTTTGATACGAAGTAATTCAGCGTTGATATCCATAATTAGAATGTGTATGCATTACCACGATAAAAATTTGCACTTGTTTTCATTAATAAGACGCTCATACCTGGACTCTATGCTATGAACCAATGTACTCCACTTCAGATAATGTCGAAGTTTGGTGGATGATCATTGTCGTGTCGCGCTGTTAAGTGATTGCCGGAGAAGATCACAGCTCCCCGACAGGGCCTGGTAGCCCAAATGCGACGCAGTCCTTGTCGCAATGCGACAACATTTTAGAAGCATTGGAACGAAAGATTGGCGCGCATCCTTCTGAACGTATCATGCGACTTGTTGTCTAGACGTGTTGTTGACACTGTGGTTGCCAACTTTATTCGGAAGCGAAGATTCCGTGTGGGCCCATCGAATACGTCATATACCCAGTGATGTCCGCAGGCAGGTACCTCATTTCCCACAGCAAAAACGTGCGCAGAACATACCTCGACTGCGATACGATACGAGCAATGTCGGCCGAGTAGTCTCCGTAGCCTCGATGAAAACGGCGTTCGAGCACTAGGCGCAATTGCCTCATTCGTACCTTCCTCCACCAGGGCTGAAGGCGACCCGAAGTGTTGGGACCCTTCGCTCCACATCAACTCTACTTCAACTACATCTCTTCTACGTTCCTTACATTACATAAATCTTCACCTACTCCGCATAGAACGATAACGCACTGGTCGATATGTTGTGCCCTAGGAGGACAGCGACACGCGCAGCGCATCCTTCGATCCCGCTGATCCTGCCGATCCAAAGCCACGCTCAGAGGACAACCGCTCTCGAAATAGTACCCTTAGGAGCGAGGGTCTATAGAGTGGTCGGCGAGCAGACACTCTGATATCGTATGCCGGATCACCAAGGAGGACGACATCGGTCCATGTGCAGGCACCCTGGACCCTCACAGCCAAGACTCTTCATCACCTCATGGGCTCGCGCGCGCATGTGGAGTGAATGTCGCTTGGTTTGATACTCTCCTGCAGGACTGGGGTTGGCGAAGAATGGGGGCCAGAACGTGTCAGCGTACTAAAGGACGACTCCAAGGTTGGCGCCAATCAAGTCCTTCGCCGGCTCGTCCTCCAGCGACGTACCGTGTCAAAGAAGGATAGATTAGCTCTGCTATCTCGTGGTCCCACAAGTCCCCCTCGCAGCGCAGAATTGCTTTTGCTCAGATGCCAGGTGGTCTGATCACTTTTGGTCAGGGTCTGCTCGGCCTTAGCCTTCTCAACCCCATTGCGACGGCGGAAACTCGCCAGCCTAGGGCGCCCATGTGCACCATAAGGCAGCCGCTTCAGCCTGCAGATACGGGGCGGCGCCAGGCAAGCAAAACCTTCTGGTACCGTAGCCGTGCTCGCTGGATAGCAGTCACAGTCAAGCCCAGCGACACGTTTAGCAGGCTCCGTTGCGCAAGCCAACGATAGGGCGCACTCAAGAACAACAAACTGTATTGTTGGCGCTTCCATTGAAAAATGAGAATACGCGGTCAGCTCTCTTCCATTCCCGACTGTCTTGAGGAATCCGGCAGTTACCACTTCTCCGCACTGCGTGGACATCTGCAGTATCTGTCCCGACACTCAGAGGCCTGAGAGATTGGGATCCAGCCATGCGCATGCAGCAGCAGGGTTGCGATGATCATGAGGCTCTGCTCGTGGAAGGTAATCTATCAGCCGAAGCCACGGTCTGGACACACGCATGGGTGACGAGAAAAGCATGCGCGGGCAGCGACAGCAGAACTCCTCGTACGTTTACTCCGCATCCTTGTTCGCTTTCGGGCCGTCATGTGTGTCGCGTCCCAACACAGCATGGCACGGCTCACGGTGCGCGGGAAGGATGATCAACCATCTGGCCGGTGTTCTCACCCTCCTAATTGGGTTCGTGGCTTGCTTGCGGGGTTGCGCGTGCATAGGCGAGACCGACGCCAACGAATTACCTTTCACACCTTGCTACTCCCTCACGGTGAGCCCGGCCGACGGCGGTCCATAATCAACATGGTACTTAAGCCCTGTAACGGGCCATGCCGCCCACACTCGCAGTCTTCTCCTCGGAAATGTGCATTCGCAATGCGAGGTGTACGATCGTAACGAGCCCAATTTTGGCTCCCGAGCTCGCACGACTTGGTGTACGATGGCGCACAGCGCTATCAGTCAAGCATGATCACAGCCCGCTGAGTATTCAAGGCTTGTCATTCGTTGTAGCATCGTTCGCATGGCATGGAACCCTAAGATCGTGATATCTTAACTAGGGTTCCGAACTATTGGTACTCAGTAGCAAGTAATCCTGTGCTGATCACCCGTCGCAGTGGCTTTGGGCGTTCCAAGTGTCTGCCCATGGCCTGTTGCTGTTGTGGTCGCACGTTTGTGTGGCCTTCCAGAAGCGGATATACCGCTTAGTGAGTCGAGCGCCGCACCCCATTACAGGCGGAGGGTCGCTTCAACCTTGATCGAATCAGGTTTTGATGCAAGCGAAGAAAGTACGACTACAGAGTAAACGCCCGAGCCTACATCGCGTGGCTAGTCAACGACGCAAGAGAACGTCGCGCCATCGCCCGCTCGGCTCCGGATCCAAACGGTGTGTTGACTATTCTAAACCCACTTCAATCCGTCGTGTCATTTGGGGTTAATCGTATGCTTGGAAGCTGGTGGCAGCGGTGGAAAGCCTCTCTGCGCTTATCCTTCGATGGGAATCGCTTGTCAATATTCCGGAGGTCGCCAAAGCCTCTGCAGACCTGTCCGCACACCAATAGGACATGTGCCTTCGAACACCATTAACAGAAAATGAAACACGTCTTGCATACAGGCGGGTACAATCACGACCTGGTCAATAATTGTTCGGAGTTGAATGTGCAACACACAACAAGAGGTCGACTAGGATCTTCGCGAAACAGGCCCTTTGCGCTATAGCTTGTCTCCTGTCGGCCCTTCTCATCGCTGTGTCCCGCATGCCCATACCCAAACACGCAAGACCAGCAGGGTCATGCCGTGCGCTGGAAGTTCTGGCCATTGCAATAATTTGTGGCGGTGCGACTTCCCATACTTTTTTTGCATTTTGAACAAGCTCTTCGGATGCTGCAGTATACGTTCTTGTCGACTCGAGACCACCGAAGCTCAACAGTCAGCGTGGACGATGTCATTTACCTGCCTGAGTACCGATCTGCGGCAGTGCGCAATCACAACCCTGAAACATGCTGTCTGGCGGGCTCATGCATGGCTCAACTGTGGTTCTGGAGCGGGCGCATAGCTAAATCGATTGCGTACTCTGAATTCGAACATCCCGCGAGGCTCGGATCATAATCCTGCCGCAAAACCCAAATAGGTTCTGGCCTTGCATTTTGCAACCACGATTGCTCGCTGTACTGACGTGCGTCAGCCACATACTCCTTTGGGGATTTATGCCCTGTCAAAATGCACGGCTCCCCTACCGCGTTGAGAGCGTGGGTCGAGGACTGCTTGACAAGAGTAGCTTCTGCGACTAAAGTAGTCTCAACTGGTCAAGTGGCACGGATTCCAAGGCTGTTCTCCCCGCACACACTACCACTAGCTCTTCAAAGCCACCATGGGCGGCCTCTAGTATATACCAGGTGGAAAGATTAGTGATGCGCCCATGGCGACGTGATATACTGGAGGTTGAAATATTGCTGATGGCGTCAGACGGGTACCAAGCCGATGCTAGACAGCGGCGTTACATTCCATAGTCGAGGTGCATCAGGGTGTTGTAACGCAGTCAATGAACAGGTGCCAGTTGCACTGCGGCCGGTATACTTGGCAAAAACCAGGCGGCACTGCTGATAGGAGGGCTCGTACCAGCGAGGGTGCGGTTGACGCCTTCCACAACCTTATCCATTTGGTCGGGCCAGGAGGGTCCAGGGGCCACGCGAACAAGATGTCACGCTGATTACCAGACGCTGCGTTAGTATGGTGCGGAACATGAGGTCCGTGTATGACAACTAGTCCTCGGGAGCCTCTGGTCAAAGACACACGGCGTGTGCACATGGCGTGCCGTGGCAGCGCAAGGTCCCAGAGCGAGATTGCTCTGACTTGGCTCCCCACACCCGGTCCAAGGCTACGAAACGGTTACGGTTGTAGGGCAAGTGTGTTTGCTCGCGACCAGACAACGCCCGCGCCCACCACTTCGAAACGCAACCAAGATTATTCAGAGGACCATGTCACGCCATGCCACAGTAGCCTTGCGATGTGCTCATGTAGGCGGTCACAATGTGCCATGACGCACCACGACTTCAGAGGCTGGTTAGTCACGAAGAGTGGGTGGGCATGCTGGAGTCAGTCCCGCAGTGACGATGTGACGATGAGAAACACGGTGAGGTCAGCGCGATACAGGGCCTGTTGGAGAGGCAGTGCAGCGACGAGCCCCACGAGGACTCGCTTAACGACCCGATTGAGGGCAATGGTCTAAGATTAGCAGCGCCCCACGTCCAATGAGACGTCATACTGCCTGCACAGCCGCATGCTAGCGCCACCAGCCACAGCGGTCCGGGCAAAGCGAGAGGATCGCGTAGCAGATGCGCTAAGGGCCACCAGGCGTGCGGAATGGCAGGACAGCTTCCCAGTCCTCCCATGGCTCCCCGACCGAAGCGGTGATCAAGCGTGCGTCTTCTCCAGGGTCTATCCCTAATGCGCTTGTCTTGCCCAGATGCAGCGTGAAGGCTCCCACGCGCTGCTCGCCTACTCGCTGACGGCCCTCTACCCCTCGTCACTTTCGGCATGGCTTGCTCTGTTGGTGCGTCGACTTGCGTGGACAGGGGTCGGGCACACCG